TTGTATCCAGAGTCTGCGTCTACAGCCCTGATCTTTGCCACAAAGTATCCCGCTTCAGCAGAATAGGGGATGTTCTCACTGTTAACGGAGCCGTGCTCAGAGTATGGCGCGAGGATTGTTGGATTATTGTCATTTTCATCCAGGATAAAAACGTTGACAGTGACGTTGCTGCTGAGTGGAGGAACACCAGAGTCTGTGGCCTGAACTTTAAAGTGGAAAGTTTTTAACTCCTCGTAGTTAAACGACTGCAGGCTGATTATATCTCCAGTCTCAGAGTTCACGTTAATAACTGACCCTATAACATTGTGTTTGTTATTATTTATGACTTGAAATGTTACTTTTGCATTTTCGTCTACATCAGGATCATCTGCACTCATGCTATAAATAACAGCGCCGACTGGACCGTTTTCTTTTACGAAAATATTTATCACAGGATCTGTAAAACGCGGTGCGTTATCATTAACGTCAGAAACGTGAACCGTAATCACGCTCGTGCTGGAAAGAGGCGGTAGCCCTTCATCTGTCGCCATTATTGTTAAATTATACTGAGAAGCCCGTTCTCTGTCTAGAGTTCCGTCTACGACTAAAGAGTAATGATTCTTATATGTGTTCTTAATTTTAAAGGGCACAGAATCAAGTACTCTAACCTGAACGATGCCATTTTTGTCTGCGTCATAGTCCTTCACCGTTAAAAGCCCAACCATTGTGTCTAGGGGTGCATCCTCCCTCACCATGTTGGCTAAAGATGTAACTGTAATTTCTGGTGGATTATCATTAACATCTGTGATTTCAATGAGAACTTTACAATGAGATGCTCTTGGGTTTTGCCCTTTGTCTTTCACCTGGACTCGAATTTCAACTGCACTGTGTTTTTCGTGGTCCAGCTCCCCATTTACTGTGATCTCCCCTGTTATGGGATTGATGGCAAATTTGTCGACATCGTTATCATTGTCTTGGTTAATAAAAGAATATTGTATTTCTCCATTAAGACCCTCATCTAAATCTCGAGCATGCACGGAAATTACGCTTGCACCGCGCGGCGTGTTCTCGACCACTGTGGCTTTGTACAGGGGTTTGTCAAATTCTGGAATATTGTCATTGACGTCTTGCACATTAACGGTGATGTATAACGTGCCTGATTTAGGAGGTTTTCCTCCGTCTGTAGCTGTCAGTGTTAATTTGATAACAGCCTGTTTCTCGCGGTCTAAGGTTTTATGCAGTGCCATTTCAGCAGACATAGTGGGCTCTCCAACATTCTGCACATCCAGTGTGAAATGCTCATTTTGGCTCAGCTTGTAGCTCTTCACTGAATAACTTCCGACATCTGCATCAAATGCATTTGGGAGAGCGAATTTCTCACCAGGAAACGCTAACTCGGAGACATTCAAAACAACCTCCGGTATCCGAAACGAGGGCGCATTGTCGTTTACATCCAAAATTGTAACCTCGAATCGATATAGATTCAGCGGGGAGCTCACAATGGCTTCTACTTCCAGTGAGCACTTCACATTTCGAGAACATAGCTCCTCTCGGTCTATTCTGTCTTTCACCAACAGTACTCCCGTCTTAACGTTTACTTCGAAATACCTCGTATTAGGTCCTGAAATTTGAAAACCTCTGGCTTCCAGTTCATTAACATCTAGATGCAAATCCTTTGCCAAATTTCCCACATTGGTACCCGGGCTCGACTCCTCCGTAATAGTATACACAATCTGTGCCGCCGCTTCACTCCATATGTAAAATACAGGGGACAAATAATAAATCCAGCTCCGGAAAATAGTCCCTTGTAGCATTCTCGTCATATCCTACTAACCAAGTTAATTAGACAAAAAATCACACAGACGGTAACATTGCGCGATAAGAGTACGTCCAGTCTATTGCCCTTAAATACAGGGAGGATTTTCTGCTACTGTTGTGACAAAGAGAGAATTACAAACCCGCTGTAAAGGGAGGAGCGTCGAACAGACCCCCCCCCCCCCCCCCCCCCCCCGTTTAATCGCCATGAGCTGTTGGCGACATCTTGTGGTAATCATAAACAATAAAAAACAGCATAAAAAGAGATGCTGAACGCATTAAGTGTTTTAATGGAATAACATTTTGATTTACCTACCTACCTACCCACCTACCTACCTGAAGTTAATATGTGTTACAAGATTTTTTAAAAAGCTGATGCAGGATAATTTGGGAGGGAAAAAAATCATTCACCTTTCTGCACTGAATGTGTCAACATTCTTACCTTCTCTTTGTTAGGTAAAGTTTGAGTTCTTGTAAAAGTGTCTCCTCCGTTAATACTGATCAGTTCTCCATCTACAGGTGGAAAAGGGGCGGGGAAGACCAC